AGGATGGAAATAAAACTTTGGGATTTGATCAATTAAAAATCAAAACATTTTACGGAATATGATCACATCAATTTGAGAAATCCATTACAAAATCTCGAATGGAAGCACAACAAAATTAATGTAATGGATAACTTTTCTCGTGATTTGGGATTGTTTCCATGTTTGGGATTGTGAGCAAAAGTGATTGTTGTGAAAGGTATATATTTAAGAAGATGATTCTATATAGCTTGTGTCAAAGAGTGAACAATGTTTATTGTGAAACATAATTCATTAGGAGTGCTAGTAGAAGAAGGAAAAATTAGTTTCAACAAGGGGGTCACCTTTCAGGTTGCATAGATCTTTTTTTTTTTTTTTGGAGGATGAATTATGACACTTATATTCACTTTGGTAAATGAATAATCAAGCAACATGCATCGCTGAGAATGAGATTCAAGATTGTGCGATCCATAAGATGGAAGACTGGGATGATAGAGAAAATGAAAAGTTTTTAATTCGGTGTGGTTATGATAATGACTACATAATTTCTTAAAGGAAGTTTGCATGAAGAGAACGATGGTTGGCACTCGATTAATAATATAGGTTTTTGTGGAGAATTTTTAAAGCTAAAATGTGAGTGCGTGGGTTGATGATGTAACCAGTTGAAGTCATTTTTTACCAGGTGAAATGACATTGCTCAAATAAGAGATGTTTTATTAAGTATGGGACGTGCATTTAAATGAGAGATATCAATGAAAGCATGAAAAATTTTAAGAAAGTATGTTCACCATTATTATATAATTAGAAAATGGGCCGTTAAAAATATTTTTCCACTTAAAACGGGCAAAAATGTCATAGGCTTTAGATTTCTGCTTGTGATAGAAGAGCCACATGTAAATGGTAAATGACAAAAAAGACATGATATTTATAACTATCATAGCGATGATTGAGAAGATCCAAATATTGAAGTATAGTAACTCCAGAAGGTAAGAGCTAGCAGGATGGTATAGAAAAGCAAATTTTGAGTTTTATTGTATTGACATGAATTAAAAGTAGAACAACATACAATTGATCTGGATAATAAAAATAGCTGAGAAGCTAAATGATGCAAAACGGTGAAGGATAGAAAACCAAGATGATGATGGCATTAATAAACTGAAGCTTTTGTTGTACAAAAGGCAATCACATGCTTATTTTTCTATGATCGTTGCCACTTATGGGCATGAGCTTTAGTTGTGAAGTATGCTTTACAGAAATATGGTTCTTATGTAAGGATCCTTCGTAGAAGAGTCTAGTAAGATTTGTGTATGTGTGTGTGTGTTGTTTAGGGTAAAACAAATGGATGTAGATAGTATGGTAGTTGTTGAGAAAATTAGGGCGAAGAAAAACAGTAATCGACACAAATCCAGAAGAACACAGAGATTTAACGAGGTTCGGCAAAGATGCCTACGTCCTCGGGAGCAGAGCGGCGACCTTCTTTTCAATATTCAGAAAAGATTATAGAATAGAATATTCAGCTCTCTCAAAGACTAGGATTACAAACAAGTATTTATAATCCTAGAGTAAGCCCTGCAGTACAATATGTAATTCCCAAATTACCCCTGTACCGTATAGCCCCAACCCATATAACGTAACTTCCCAATTTGGACAGATTCTAGAATTTTCCGCTCTGCTCCGCTACACTCAAGAATTTGTCTCGTATGGTATATGAGCCATACCATAACAGATCTCCACCTTGGCGAATATCCAACCCCTTAGGAGAAAAGATACCTGGGAGTTACACCTGCACCAATGTGGGTTAGGCCATCATGCTTCTGCTGCGCC